GACACCAGCTATAGAACCTTCATCACACCAATGGCAATGAACTAGTTCTTAGACAGATGCTTTTTACCCTCTAGAAATGCACAGTTATAGGAGGGTGTATATATGTGTGTGTGTGTGTGTGTGTGTGTGTGTGTGTGTGTGTCATAGGGTGGTTCTTACTTCAGAATATTACTTTCTTCATTCTGCATAAATCTTAGGCAAAGCTGCAGCTCGTGTTTCTTTGTTTGGTAAGTACACGTCTTTATGGACAGCATTTGTTTTCTGTTGGCCTTGCAGGCATAAGAACGGCTGCTGCCACATGCTGTAAGCTTGCTGCCAGCCCCCCGTTGTTACAGTACAGACTTCTGCTGACAAGACATCTGTGCTGTGGTCTTAACAGAGCTCAGGCCTTCGGGGCTTGACCGAAACAACCCATTCTTCAATGTTATTGCTAGGAAAGGTGTTCCGAGCTATCAATAAATGTCATTCTTTTAACCCTTGTGCTTCTTGTTCCTTCTTCTGGTGCTTACTCGCACTTATCAGTCATATTTCACTCATATCTAGCTCAATCTTTCTATTACAAGTCCAGCACATATTTTAGCTTCTCTGTATTCAGGAACTCTGTTTTGGTGGTGGTAGGTGATRCTTTGGCAAGTCAGGAATCCAGCACTCTAGAAATTATGCATTGCACATCTCTAGAGCATCCTGTTTTGGTTAATTACCTGGAAATCACACTTCTCTACATTTTAGGTTATGAACCAGCTTGGTCTTGTCTTTCTTTGAACAGGGTTCTCAGTTAAGACCGTGCAACTCTTGTTGGGCTTGTCCTCTAAAATCCTCATTCTGTTGATTGGCTTAAATTAAACCTGGCTGCCTGTGTAGCATAATGGCAAAATGCAAGATGGCATTTGGGGTACTAACATGAGATTCCTTTTTTAAAAAGTTGACGTTATCTAGCCCAAGTTGGTTTTGTAGGCTCTGCCTACGAGATTCATCATCCTTCATACAGATTGTACATGAAGTAAACAGGAGTTGAGAGGGAGGGGATTTCTCCGAGTGCCTCCTCGTTTTCAGCGTTGGAATTGCAAAGCCACCCTGGCTGTAGCAGTCAATGAGAAAAAGGTTCTTCAGTTAAATGTATTGTTTTATTTTGACGTTTCGGGACCTGAAAGAGACAACGAGGAGGTCGATGTTAAGAAAACATGTCTTGATATGTTCCCATACATTTGARTGTTTCTCTGTTTTTCAAATGGATGAAGTTCATTATGTAAGACTAACCTGATGTAGATGATGCAGAAGGGGCTCCACAGCATGCATGTGTAAACCTTGCTGCTATGTTTGAAGACCTGAGAAATATTCTGTTTAAATGGGGTCAGACTAACTCAGGTTGTGACCTTTTCTAGTGCTGATCTTCCCACCTATGTCTTCCCACAGCCTTTCACAGACCAGGAGTGTGATTCATCTCAGCTCTTTCAGATGTCTYGGTAAGACGAGATGAATCATGCTGTAAGAGCCCTTAATGAATTTTCATTGATTATAAAGGTAGCATAAATGATTAGTGTCTGATGTCATTTGGCCAGATGAATCCTACCCAAAAGTTTTATTTTTAGTATATTTTCCTAGCATCCAAGTAACTAGCATAAATCACTCGATTAAAGCTGAATGTAATCATGGTTCCATTCCTCATTCTTCCCAAGAAGTAAGCTTCTAAAGCAGGAAAGTATAATTAGTATAACTAGATCATTAGAGAAAAGTCATGGAAACTCACCTTGTTCAAACACTTTCTAAAGTATTATGATATTTACCATTCCCTGCGTTTCTCTTCCTCAGTTGTCTCTCTAATCCACCTTCCTTTTTCCTCTCTCAATACAGTGTTGCCTTATGTCTAGTTCTGCTCTGTTACACCTTTCTATATTCAAAAGTGTGTTTGCTGATGCAAATGAAGGTAGCCCTGTTTTACAAATAAAGTATAGCCCCRTGTGTTGTAAAGCAATTACGTTTTGGATTGAGGTTGAACTGCAGATTGAGAATTGGCTGGATGGCAGAGCTCAGAGGGTGGTCATGAATGGGGTCAAGTCCAGTTGGAGGCCTGTGGCCAGTGGCGTCCCCCAGGGGCCAATATTGGGCCCAGTGCTGTTCAACTCGTTCATCAATGACCTGGATGAGGGTCCAGATGACACCAAGCTGGGTGGAGTGGCCGACACTCCGGAGGGCTGTGCTGCCATCCAGAGGGACCTGGACAGGCTGGTGAGTTGGGCAGAGAGGAACCTCCTGAGGTTCAATAAGGACAAGTGCAGGGTCCTGCACCTGGGGAGGAATAACCCCAGGCACCAGGACAGGTTAGGGGCTGACCTGCTGGAAAGCAGCTCCATGGAGAGGGACCTGGGAGTCCTGGTTGACACTAAGTTAACCATGAGTCAGCAGTGCCCTCGTGGCCAAGAAGGCCAATGGCCTGMATCAGGAGGAGTGTTGCCAGGAGATCAAGGGAGGGGATCCTGCCCCTCTACTGAGCTCTGGGGAGGCTGCACCTGGAGTACTGGGTGCAGTTGTGGGCTCCCCCGTATAGGAGGGACGTAGCACTTATAGAGAGGGYCCAGCGGAGAGGGACAAGGATTAAGGGACTGGAACATCTCTCATATGAGGAGAGGCTGAGTGAGCTGGGCCTGTTTTCTCTGGAGAAGAGAAGGCTGAGAGGGGATCTGGTCAACATATACAAATACCTGACGGGAGAATGTAGAGTAGAAGGGGTCAAACTGTTCTCAGTGGTGGCCAGTGACAGGACAAGGGGCAATGGGTACAAGTTGAAACACAGGAAGTTCCATCTCTGTATGAAGAGGAACTTCTTTGCTGTGAGGGTGACAAGAGCCCTGGCTGCGCAGGGTGGTTGTGCAGTCTCCTTCTCTGGAGATCTTCCAAACCCGCCTGGATGCCGCCCTTTGCCCCGTGCTCTGGGTGTCCCTGCAGGAGCAGGGRGTTTGGACTAGATGATCACTACATCATCTCCTCCAACCTCAACCATTCTGTGATTCTGTTATTTTATGCAGACTCACAATGAGAAAMATGTACGCCCCTCTCAATATTAACTTCACTTTTGTAATGTGGATCATAGGTTACAGCACTCATTTTTTTAGGTTTCTCACTTCAATTGTTATATATTTGCCCAAGCAAATAACAAACACAGTTCTCAGCACTGCATAAAAAGTAACATACCTTCTTTAGTATATTCTTATAAGTATATTTTTGCTTCCTTGATAACAGCCCCAGAGTAATGAATAAATTCTTTCATGCTAAAGAAATGTAATATTTTTGTTTTTGCAGTTGCCCAGTCACTATCACATAAATAACAACAGTGGTCATCAGCTTTAGTTGGAAATTAAATTATGTTTTATTTTAATTATTTCATACTTGGTAATTAGCTGTATGTGTTCTCCCATACTTCCTCATTAGCTGTATGTTGTTAATAGTCATCATAACTAATCAATCAAATAGTGTTGCAATTTGAGATGTAATTTCTGAGGTTTCTTTATGTAATTTACTTTTTTGACGGTATCCATTAAGTAGTCCCGCATGTTCTCTGACCTTACCTTTTCAGGCTAAAAATAATTATCAAATAAAAATACTGCAAGAAAAAAAATCGTAACTTTTCAAAATTATTTCAGAATATTCAATTAACTTTAAAACCCTTATCTCTGTACTCCTTCAGCTGCTAAATAACCAATTGAATAATAAATATACCCTACCTAAATTTTATTGCAGAAGCAGGAAAGCTGGTGACTTTACGATAAAAAGCCATGTTCCAGACAACTCATTTTTCCCTATTGCATTCCTAGCTCAGGCTGAACTTATTGCTAATATGTTTGCTTTAAGAATGACAGAGCATAATATATTTCACAGATAAAACTAGTGATTATTCTTTAGWTAGATATAACTAATATTTTTCTGCACTGCTAAGAGAGATATGCCTGGCTGAAGCAATAATCTAAGCAAGTTATTATGAGTAACAGTTTATATAAGTGGAAGTTCTTGATAGATATATGATCTATAAAAAAAATCAAACCTACAAAGTAGTTTTTTATGGAAATAGAGCACAGTAGTTTCTATCTTCTCTGTGATTGAGAGATAAAAATTTTATTGTAAATGAGAGCAATGATTGGTGTGTTTATGCAGTGTGTCAGAGGATAGGGAAAGAGTAAAACGTTTTTACAGACTCTAGCGTCTGTTTATTTTCCATTAGCATGTATCATTGTCACTGTTCCCAAGTTTGGCACTTCGGGTCATCATCTAGGAATTGCACAGATCACCGAGCAGAAGCTATGTCTGCACAAAGGACTATGGCTTTCATTTTTCATGTATCAACAGCCTGTTGTTATSTGTGTACTAGAAGAATATGCAGAGCAAAATTAAATCCAAATATCTTCACTCTTTAATCCTTCCCGASCTTTCACTGTGATACTACTTACAAAACGTGTGGTACATTTCTCCTGCTATTTTTCCAGTTCTTTGGATCATAAGAATAACTTGCATTTTGTTCTAAGGGGTTGTGATGTATTTTAAGTCAATATTTAATAATATTGACTTAAATATAATTAATAATATTTAATAATATTAATAAAATTTAATTTTATATTTAATAATATAAACTCGAAACTTCAGAGTTTTGTTAATAGTTGTGGAGAAACTTCCATGGCAAGTTATGCCAGGGCTTCTTAGTTGGACTGGCTCTTGGCAAGGGCAACACATCAGTGTAATCATTGCTRGTTTTATTTTTTTTTGTCTATATATTCTTACAAATTAAAGTAATTATACATGGGATAATGGGAAAGATTGTTCATAATTTATTTATGTTCCTTCCTTTCCAGGAAAAGTGAGTATATTGACCTCTCAAATATTTGTTGTTATTTGCAGTTCTGTAAAAAAATACTGTCATTGCACAGTGTATTACAAAAAATACAGACTATCCTTGCACTCCTTTTTGTTTCATAATATATTGCTAACATTTTCTCTTCCCTATTATTTTCCAGGTCTGGGTTTCAGTATTGCAGGAGGGGTCGGAAACCAACACATTCCTGGGGACAACAGCATTTATGTCACCAAGATTATTGATGGAGGAGCGGCGCAAAAAGATGGGAGATTGCAGGTTGGAGACAGACTTCTTATGGTAAGTATGACAAGTTTAAATCACATTTTCATTGACTGAAAGCTATTTCATGAAGAGACTTTTTTTCACCATACTTTTTACTGGAGATAGCCAATAGAACTTCTGTAATAATCATGAGCTGCACTTCTGTCATTTTCATTTTTTTTTGCCCATTGCTTATACATATTCCTGAGACTACAGTTAAGGAGCATTACAGTGGTAAAGAACATTTTGTGAAGAYGAGGCTAACAGTTGTATGACTTTGACAGTCTAGCTGAAAAGAGAATAAATGCATTAATCATGTCAGTGACACGTTAAAATGCAGTGGAAATCTTTAAAGGAAAGTTTAAGATAAAGTGTTCATTACAGCAGCACTCGTTCTACTCATTTTAAGAAAATGAAAGGATGTAAAAACCTGCTAGATACCTATGTGTAGACTGTTAGATTATAAATTACAAATCTGTATGTACATTTATAATACAGATAAAATCTAACAGTCTACACATAGGTATCTATGTATGAATGCTTAATGTAGTCTGCATATAGATTTTCTGTCTGTGTTTTGTAGAAACATATTTTCCATCCTTTTTTCCTGAGAAAGTGCATTTATTCCTCCCGTAGATCTCACATTAGGAAACTCAGYGGTATTTGCAGTGTTAGTGCATTACTCCCCAGAGATAATTCTTTCCCACTCACAGTTTGTTTAATTCTTTGTGAGGGGAAATCCTGACCCTGGTGAATCAGCAGAAGTTTTTCTATGTCAAGTTGTATTCATGTCAATGCATTTGTGTAGCTGTCAGCAGGTAGAGAAAACTTCTCTGAATCAATGCCATGGAAAAAAAAAAAATAGTCGTGTTTTGTGACATTATGTGTAAGCAGTAAAAAATTGCCAAGACCTTTCTTGCTGCCTGCAACACTGTCTAGTTGGAGATSAGCTTGGAGCACTGTTTTCCAGTCAGATGTGAAGGTGACTATTCATTTTGTATGATGTATTGAGAACATTAAAGGAACTTGCTTGCTGGGTTGGTGACCCTTTCTTTAGTTCTTGTTGTTAACCTATGTGGATAGTTAGAACTTAAACAATAAGTGGTGCTATCAAATCAAAAGACAACCTAARGCTTTTATCATCTTTGGCATGTCATTTTTTGCATGCTCTTAGCACATAGAAATTAAAATCACTTTTGTATAATGATTCCTCTTATTTCTGTATCAAAATTTGTATTTTCCTTTTTTATACCTTAATTTGCTATTTTACACCTTATTTCCATTTTGCTTACATTTTTGTTGCTGTTCTTTCTTGTGGAAAGAAATCTTCACAGTTGTGAAGAATTGCTGATTTTTGTTAACTTCCTGTTAACTTCTCACCAACCCACTTAAGATAATAGATAATATCTGCTAAAAAAAAAAAAGTTATAAACCCTGCATTCCCCACCTCTGGTGTAACCCAGTATATTCATTATGAATTTGAATTGGCAAATAATTATTTTATCCACCATTATGAAAATATATATATATATTTTTAGTAGTATATGGCTGTTAGGGAGTTGGTCTGTTGCGCTTTCCTCATTGCTGTCAAATACAGACGTTTGCAGGTTTTGCAGGTTTCATCATTCCGACAGGTTTCTACTCCTGAACTCGACCTCTTAAAATGACTAACACAATTCAAGTATTTTTTACGTGCCATCTCCTGACTGCTTCCTCTTTAGTCGTGACCTGTTTATTACCTACCCTTGTCTCCTTTTATTGCTACGTTTCCCCATTCATTTAAAATAAGGAGGAAAAAAATCCRTCATAACCATTCTGTCTATTAGTCATCTACTTGGAGACCAAGCTTTTTATTCCTGCATAAGAAAATCCTAGTCAGCATGCTATTTGTATACCCTAATCCTGACATTTTTGGAGATTAGGTTATGGGATCAAAATCTATTTCTAAAATACAGACAGATTGCAAGTATTTTTATCTGATTCTCTGCAACAAGAGCACCTTCAGTGCCCTCAATATCTTTTTCCTCTACCTTGGGAAGTATCTGTCAGTTCATGACATTTACTTCATGTTCCTCTGTGAGCAGTGAATGAAAGAATTCATTCCTTTGGCTGTGTTACCACTTGTACCAAYACAATATTGCCCTTGTCATCTATATGGTTCTACTTCTGCTTCACTGATTCCTTATTTGTTATTTATTTGGACACTTCCTTAATATTTTTCTTCTCAGGAGTGGATCGATTCTTGGTCTTTTCTTGCCCCATCATTTCCTGTAAATTTGATAGAATTTGCTATCTTTCTGGAATTCATCAGTGAATGTTGTTTTTTTGTATCAGTGTTCTGATAAGTTTGTGTGAAATGCTTTCCAGTTTCCAAATGAAATGCAAATCAAATGATTAAAAATTAAGAAGGAAAATCAAAGCAAATATTAAAATGTATAAGACTGAGGTTTCATCTGAGCTTTTCACAGTTTGATGTCCCTACTATTATTAAATGCAGATTGCTAATGGTGTGTTAAGCATTCTGAGGAAGTATTATGTAAATACTAAACATTGTGATTATTGTGAAATCTATACACAGGCATGCAAGCGCAGCTCTGTTTCTGTAGCACTGAGCCTTCAGTTGAGGCTCATTATCCCGAGCACTTCCGCAGAAAAATGCTCTATTGTAGATTAATTCTGAGAAGCTCCAAAGGAAAACTAGTGGAGGAAGCTGAAGGTTCCTCATGCCAAAAACTGAATTTAGGATTTTTGCTAGGTATATATGAAAGGAAGAGAGCTGCTCTGAAGTTTACAGGTAGGAGGAAACTACTTTTGTGCTCTAGCTGATGTTGATGATTGTGGTTGTCTCAGGTTGCTTTTATTTGCACTGGAAAGCAACAAGGGGGAATCATGTACAAGATTTCACTGGATCACAGGATAATTCAGGTTGGAAGGGATGTCAGGAGTCTCTGGTCCAACCTCCAGCTCAAAGGAGGGTCATCTGTGAGATCAGACTCGGTTGCACAGGGCTTTCTACAGTCATGTTTTAGAAACCTCCAAGGATGGGGAGTGCATAAACTATTTGGGATAACATGACCCTGTGGATGGCAGCCCCGACCTCACTGGTTGCCCCAATGTGCTCTGCCTCCTCTGGGTCATTGATAAAGATGATCAGGAAGAGCTGAGAATGACTGAGTTGAGAATGAATCTATACCTCTCAGATGACCATAATTTTCTTTATCTTACTGTGGAAGAGATTATGGCTATGTTTACCCATAATATGTTTAGCCAAACATATGTTTAGATTATGTATGGCTATGTATATATATATATATATGGTAGAATACAGAGTGAATAATTGAGAAATCACTATAAAATTATGCTTATCCTAGTACAAAAAATGCTGTTGGCAAGGTATGTTTTAGGGAAGGTTTCCAAAAAATAAAGCTTGAAAAAAATGCTTAATATTTATTTTTTATTAGTACTCGTGTAACTTTTCAAAAACCTTTCAAACTTTCCAAAATATTTCAGTGTTTGAGCTGTTCATATTAGGCAGTTGTTTCTTGGACTKCACAGATAGTATCAGACCTTTGTGGGGTTACTTGAAGCAAAAAGTGATGTTATTCCCAAAGTGCTGCTCCAAAATTATTTTGGCTATATTGTAGCGTGGTCTGCAAGGACAAGATTGGGATATTTTTGCCCATTTTGGATATTTTGTTGATATTTGGATATCAARCTATACCAGGAGAGGCTCTCCTGAAGCGTTCCTTAAGCATTCCAGATGCTCACAGGCTTTCAGTCCACAGAACCAGATTAGTCCAAAGCAGCCCCCGTAAGACATGTATGTGTGGATGTCATGTCACGACCTCTCTTGCTGTGGATTTGCTGTGACCCCTGCATGCTGTGCACTCGGCTGGGTGCATGCACAGGGTCAGCATTTCGCTGTTACACCAGGTGAAGGACAGACACTATCCAATTGGGCCTGAATGTAACGGGAACAGATAATGCCTGATTTGTAGGTTGTACGGCCCAACTGGCACGAAGCAAATACATTAGGAAAAAATAATACTCTGAAATGAGGAATAATAAGTTTGTGCTGAACTGACTCGGGGAAGACACGACTGTGGCTGCATCCCTCCTGATGCAGTGCTGGGCTCAGAGCCAAATTTATTCTGTCACTGACTCTGGCCTTACAATGCTTTCTCTAGCTTGCTGGTCTTGCCTTAATAAAAGCAACTTTTCCAGTCAGTTCATGTTGTTTGGCATTGTCCTTAGGAAGAGCATCTTTTATTCCAACTTGTTTCTTACCTACCTTGTGACAGTGATAAATCAAGAGACAGGTTGCTCAGAAAGGTAGTGGAGTCTCCATTCTTGCTGATATTCCAACCTTGAGCTGGGAATCCCTTCCCGCCTCAGCAATCCTGGGTTTCTATGAGGATGATAACTAACGCAGCCAGGCTGCTTCTATTTTCACTCGATTGAAAGGTTATTGTCATATTCACTGGTCTCYGCCAGAGCTGTGATTTTGTATCGTTCAAAGGTAGATTTGCTAGGATCAGTAAATTATCAGTATCAGTAGCAATAAGTCCCCCCATTTATTCACTGTAATGATGCTCTCATTACCTGGCTGTTCCTACACAGTTTTATCATCCTCATGCCTTTTTATTATCCTTAAAAACATGAGTTTTCTACCTAAATCAGTATGAGCTGGGACTGAAAAATCAAGATCAAGGCTCAGGGTTATTCACATTRCACATGCACACACTGCCTTGAACCTGTTAGTTCAGTCTCACACTTACCTGCAGAACACAAATTCTTGCTTTACTCTGCAAAAAGTAGTTATAATTTGAGACAATTAGCCCACAGCTACTTATAATCTAAGCAAGATAATTTAAGACAGAATAAGAGATAATGTGACCTGCAGGTAGGCAGCTGGTCGGAGGCCAGTGCTTTGCATTCACAGCCCAGCTGCCACAGGGCTGACTTGGGAGTCCAGGGGATCATATGTGACCAGTTAATCCAGACAGGTCGACTTTCTGYGGGCTTCAGCATGGAAG